ATTAGTGCGTATTAATAACAAACTTTCAAAACCTTCATTCCTTCTCGAAATAATACAAATTCAATTGATAAAAATCGATCAAAAATGGAAATACTAATAGAATAACTTATCTTTATGTTAAAGATTTCTATCAGTATAAAACTAGAAAAAACATTCCTAGAATAGACCCAAAATTTACATATTTATCGTAAAACTAATTGTGTGTAATTTAAGAAAATTATTTGTGCATAGTGTTTAGCAAATTTGTAAACTTTTAGGTCCAAATGCAAGTTAAAACTGCTAATTAGAAGAGTTAATCATTTAGAGCCCATTGTTATTGATCAAACAAGTAAAAACGATCTACATTATAGGACAGAAACATGATTTTTGTTATACGAAAAGTATACAGAAATATAATAAAAGTATAACGAAAGTGTAACAGTTACATACACAAAGTTTAATTGTGAAACTTTGTTGTGTCACAATATGCTTAGAACATCAATGAACATTATGTAATCTGTTGCGCACTCATGCGACTATAATCAACCATATTGGAAACTTAAATAAATTGACTATTGAATATCAGAAATAACAGGTTATTAGATATTACTTATGGAACCGACATGGTGGACCGAATTTTAATTGTTTATAGCAGTTTATTGGTTTTGACAGAATCGGTTTTAGGAGGGCCGACAGTATATATATTTTTTTAATATTAAGATAACCACTTAAAGGTTTGGTATATTTTATTAACTTCAGTTTGAATACCAGAACAGCTACATAGGCTGCTACTGATTTTGTTATATTAATGAAGGTACATTCTAACTATATTTGCATCTTTTGAGTATCTACTTTAAATAGTTTAGATTCTATACTAGATGCTATACCTATAACCCACTATTATTTGGGTTACTCAATTAAATCTTCTAATCAACTTATACTATTAATAGATATTTTCCCCAAAGAGAAACTACTGTGAAAGACTCTTAGAACTTTGAAAAAAACATATATTATCATATAGAAGGGTTTTTTATTTTTGTGATAAATCTACTAGAGTAGTTTATATTTTATACATATATTATTTAGACTTTTGATAACTTACACCTTGATCACAACCAAGTACTTGTAGTATTTTATCTCCACTACTATCACTTACTCTTTGTCTTTACAAAATTCATTCAAACCTTAGCACCCACTTTATGAACTATCAATAATACTTCAATGCCAACTATTAGTACCCCAAACTTTCAATTCAAATGGCCTAAAAGAGACTAGTAGCTGTCCTCTAGTATTTTAAATAAATACTTTTTTTACCAATTATCTGGCAACCTGGTTGATATAATGCTTTTGCCAAATACTCAATCTTCATTTAGTTTGTCTTTGGTGTCTAGTTCTTTAGATAATAATCTTTTATCTAATACCATCAAAGATCCATATTACCTCTCTACTCAGAACTTCTCAAGCAGGCTTCTGTATCTCCAATCCTTTGGATTAATTTAGCTGCTTTACTTAGAGTTTGTATAACTCATATGTTATACTATTATTTCACAACCTCTCAGTATAAGCTGATATGACCAAGATTACAAGTGCTGCTCGATTGATATATCATACAGTCTGCTATAACACATTTTGTAAATTTAAATTTCATTTGTAGTAAAATTTGAACTCTTGTCTTGCTGCTTGAGGTGCAACAACTTATCAACTTTACTAAGTTAACACACTTTTTTTTTATAATATTTTAATTATATTATAGCCTGATTATTGCTATACAACTTACCTTTGCTTTTGTAGAGTTTATTTAAACCTTAATACTTCTCTTCAAAACAATCTGGTATTTTTCCTTTTAATACCTTCTAGCCAGTTTTTTCAAACTACCAATCCAGATAACCCAGAAGGAATACTAGTCTCTTGGTATTTGTATTGCAGATTTTTTTTTTCAGCATTCTAGTAGTCTGATCAGTAGAATACCTTTTCTTTCAAATACTAGTCTTCATCTAGTTATGCCAGCCTTGAGTAAAATTTATTTCAATAATACTGTTAAAAGTTTGTGTTCTTTCTCTACTCAAAACTTGCCAAGTAAGTGCTTCATTGTTGTATTGGTTTTGTGGCTTTCTGTGATCCTAAGAACTTATCTTAAATTTGCATCAATTAAACCAGCTTGTATGCCTTTGTATAAACTCTTTTATTATACAAATACTTAAAGATCTTCCAATTCTAATATAACTATTACTTAGTACAACCACAATTACAGGGTTTTGAGTTTTCTCAACTATGACAATAGTTGCTGAATCTGTTTTTTCTAAATTCAATTTTCATCTTTCATGAGAATTGAACTTAAACTCGACCACATAAGGATGCAACAACTTCATCACTTCACTAAGTCACCACACCCATTTTTAGGTTTTTTTTTAATAACACTTATTTAATATATATAATTAATTTTTTAAGTTTATTCTAATATAATTTTGTAAAATTTTATTATATTAAACTTCAAGATATATAAATTGTAATTTTTTATTAACTAAATTTTTTGAATTACATATTTTAAAATTAGCAAATATTTATAATATGGTTTTAAAATGCATCGCCCTAATAAAAGTTTACTTATTTTTCTTTTATTTGATCAAAAGTGACTTAATAAAATTTTATTTAAAATCTCTAAAAATTTTATAATATAAGCAAATTATTACGCTGTACAATTTTACTTGTTACACTAAGTTCAATTTGCTTATAAAAAAATCAGGTTACATGTGTGATTATAATCACTATCGCTATTAGGTACGTACGTACGTACGTACATAATTATTAGACGGCCGGTAATTATGTCAGGGGAGTGTACATCGAATTAAGACTTCTACTACAGGAAGTAGACCGCAATTTTTAAATATCAACTTAGTCGTGCCAATAAAACGTCAATCGACTCAATCGGTTTTATCAGCTAGGCCAAATCGACTACAATCACTAGAGTATAAATTACTCTCATATACTCAAAATAACACACAAGTGGGATTACTTATTTCAATTTTATAATAAAAAAATATTCAAAAGCAATTGATATTTACGTAGCAGCAAGAAACATATATTATCAAAGGTCTCAGTTCAATTTTGCGCCAAATACATCAAGAAACTAAAATTATAATCTAGTTATTTTATTTGTTAGTAAAATATAAATTGTAATCTAATCTAACAACCAAACATAAAAATTGAACTGTTTCAGTTGCGGAATAAAAATTTAAGCATTCAATTAGCAACTTAATATGATAAAGAAAATAATCTTCAAATTTTTCAAATAATTGCAAAGTGCGATCTTGTGAGTCTATTTGTATGGGGTCTGACACAGATTCTACTTGTGATTCGAGTATGGTGAGAGATTTCATAAATTTTTCGGTGTTGTTTGAAAAAAGAACACACGCAGAAGTCAACTTTGAATATGTCTGTTCAACAAAATATTCATTTAATAACGATGTAATAGGAAACACAAAAGTTAAATCACTTACTCTCAATAGTTTTGCATTCGTTAGCATGCATTCCTTAAGACACGTGTCGAGAAAATCAGAATGATATTGTAATACTTGATCAACAGTAGATACCTAATTTACAATGATTGAAAAAAAATAAAATTTAGTACTAAAGATCACGATAATAGTTATAAGTTTGTGATGAAACCCGAGTAAATACCTTTGCTAGATTGGCCTCCAAATTTCTCCATTGGGGTTCTAGAACTTCATTGGTAATATAATATGCAAATTGTTGTACGAAAACCAACATCCTTTGACGAAGAGCAAAAACACGACTTTTCCAAGCTTCAATGGTAGGATGACCTGACCCTCTCCTCCAATAAAATGACTTTGAATGTTCAATCCAAGTGTTGCATAATAATTGTTCAACATATTTAAGATGAAGCAAATGCCTAAATAATAGTTGATATTTGGTAAGAGCCTTACGAGAAATTACGAGAGACAGTGGAAAAGTTACTGTATAATCCAAAGTAAGTGCATCAATTCCTATAATAAAAACCAAATAACCTAATTGAGCAATTAATTGAATAATATGGACATAATAATAGTCTAATAATGTAATCACAGAATCGTACCCATTAACGATTGCTTGCTACCTCCTACATTCCATACTACACCTACTGCATAACCAAATCTTTCACCACTTATAGAGCCATCCTCAGAACCTTCATATTCACTTTCATCTCCTATCCTACCAATTTCTTTTCGAATCCCCAAACTTTCACTAAAACTATTGGTTCGACTAACTGGCGCTGTTTCTACGTTTATTATACGTAGTAATTGGTCTACTAAACGGACAGTGCTCATCTCCACTTTGACATCTTCTTTAAACGGATCAGTGTATGCGACAGAGGAAGGATTACGAAGAACTAAGTCTAATAGGGACTGAAGTTTGGTAAGAGAGACTTGACCGGATGGTTTTTTTAATTCCACTGATGCAAGATCGAGAAAATGTGTAAAAAAATCGGATTGATCGAGGAAAAAATAACGTTTTATCGATCTGGTAGATATCTAAATTAGATAAAATATATACGACAACTACACAAAATAAAAGTATCAGATTTTATACCGTAAGCGAGCTATAAGTTGTTGATCTTTTAATAACAAATCCAATAATGTCCTATTTGCGCACTTATATGCATTCTCAATACTATCTACAAATCTTATTGCAGTATTTGCAAGAACCCACAAGCAAAATTAGCAAAACATGAATCCGGTTACAAATAATATTACTAATATCATATGCATAACACTAACCTTCCGCCATCCATAGCCGCCAAAATATCATTACTGACATTAACATCCGTCTTATCTACATTATCTTTACCAACAACATCATCCATTGTTTGTTGCTGTGGTTCCTGTATTGCAATTCCACATTCCCGGATAACGTTAAGGTATTTTCCGGCTAATAATATTTTATTTCTAAACGGGATTAAAAATGGAGGGACAACATTTTCTTTAATAGTATATCGCATTTCCCAATACGCGTCATTGAAATCCTCTTTAAGATCTTCCTTCCTGACACCTTTCCGTTCCTGTACCATAAACTCCTCATATGGGTCATGGATTTCACCATTATGTATCCAAGAATGCAGCATTGTGACGTACGGTTGTGACGATTTGGAAAGTAGGTACATGTATAGCTTTTTAGTGGCTAAATCTCTGAGCATCATAAAAAATATAAGTGTGCATGTATATGTACGTACATATATATATGTAAATTGAATACTTTTCACTGACATTGTAAAGGAAATTGTTGTTACCCGCTCATATTAGTCATTCGATCAATCAAGATACTCAATAAACCACCGCCTTTAACTTGTTGGGGTATATTATTATTCCGATGAAAACCATCGATTAACATTTCAGTATCCTCCTCCATCGCATTTCGCGTTACATTTCGAATATCCATTATCAGTGAATGCAAGTTCGACATTGTGTGGAGTGTTGGATGTACGTAAAACCAGAATTTCTGAAGAGTAAACGACGGGGATGAACAAAACTGATGCTCAAGTTGAGTAATTAATATGAGATATTCCTATGTAGTACAATTACAACGAGTCCAGATTTGCGCTATAATTTTACTATGCATTAACGTAGAAATATGAAAAGTGATAACTATTGAAATAATATATCTGAAGATAATGCACCTTTAATAATTCTCTCATTGCGGCACATAATGCGTGATTTACAAATCCGTACTCGAATTTTGAATGCATCTCAACGAAAGCGTTTATGGAGGTATAATATGTTGCAAGTGGTAATATACGTTCGGTTAAGTCTTTTAACGATGGATCTGATAAATTTTACCACCATTAAAATGCGGAAAAGATATTTACAAATAAATGGATTAAGCAAAATAATATAAACCTAAAGATCCATCCACCGAATAAGTAACGCCATCCAATTGTTGTTCGTCTTCAGTAGAATCCTCAGATAAATTTGCTTCAATATATTTGCCCTCAATTCCCTAAAATTATTCCGATCATGTAAATTTTTCATAGAGAAATCAAGTTCATTGCTTTTGGCATTGCAACCAACACAGCCCAACAGATTGTTTCGCGTACCATCATTATAAATAATAAATCTTCTATAATGGCATATTCTTGCAATTGTAAAGGTAATGAACCAATTTTTAATTCTTTGTCATTATTGTCGCGCTATTCATAGTAAAGAAATATAAATGAATAATTATTGTACGCAGATACGTGTACTGCTATTTTAAAATAACTCGCACCAGTTGAGACAGCTGAAGAACTCTAGAATTTAAAGGCGCGTTTATAAAATTATGTTCTTCGTGAAAAGATTTAGTCGTATAACCTTATACAAAAAGATTTTTCTATATAAACAATCGTGGATAAATTATTAAAAGCATTTTTAAATACAAACCATTTATCAAACGTGAGGAAAATGGCGTGGGTTTTAGTGGATTCGTACGTAACTTGACCTGTCTAATATTTGCTAGTTGAGCAGTGAGCTACTCATTGAATCGGTATATAATTTTCACGTTTAAAAGTATACTGTAAGGCGAAAATTCTACGAATAACCATAAATTCAGATCAAGAAGGAATCACTTATTCACCTTGTTAACTTGTTGTTCGGTGAGTAGTCCTTTCGACATGTGAAAGTTGTTATAATAAGAAATGTCAAAAATGATTTTAAGAATGTGTCGAAAATGGGTATCCTTATGTAAAGCGAAAATCGACCCCGACCCTAAAATTTCTGGTCCGGAACCAATAAAATTTTAGGATCTAGTGTAACAAAAACAAACCGCGAAACCAACATTACTTACTTACTTCTGTACTTATATCGATTACTGTACAGGATTCCTTAAATGCACATTGTCGGGACCGCTCTAGCACTAGGGCGTGGAGAACACTAATAAGATCATAATGTGAGTGATAAGCCTGACTTTAGTAGCGTGAAAATAATAAATTTGATTGGCTATTAATCACGTGGATGCATTTATGGGAGTTTCTATAAATGGGCCAAACAATTAGCGTGCACTTACAGAATAAAGAACGTGCATTTATCTATAATAGAGGTTGGAACCGGTTTTAATAATTCGGGTTTATCACATGAATTTGGTGATATTTTAGAATTTAATCCAATTAAAATTTAATAAATTCTAAAATATCACCAAATTCACGTGATAAACCCGAATTATTAAAACCGGTTCCAACCTCTAAATCTATAAGTCCCATTGTGGGGCTAGTCTTCTATCGTGCATTCAGAGAGGTGTTGCATTTAGGGAGGTTGCATTTAGAGGGGTCTGACTGTACTTGAGATACTCCAGCCTAATCATTTGGGTCGAAAGGGTCCGATTTTCACTTGACAAAGGAAAGTTACGTGAAATTAGAGTAACAGATAAAAAAAATATTGAAAAATAAAAAAGGTAAATTGTTGCTAGGAACATGACTGCCGGGAGAATGAAAGTTGAAAATGATTGGGACCAAATATTATTAAGTTTATCCAATAAAATATTTTGGACAAATTGGCATACCAAAAATCCAGTTAAATTTATTTGGATATTGTCCAGTATCAATTCTGGTCCACAATTCTATATACCGATACATTTAACATTAAATCGCGTTCTATAATTAAATTTACGATGCGGAAGTTAGTTGTTATAGTAAATTTGCACAAGATTCTATAATATTATTGGTTCCGAACAAAGCATTTAGGCTGAAATGAGCGTAGTCAGCTCTTAATGAACGTTACTCACCCTGTAACATAAGGTAAAAGGGTGTATTGTGACCAGAGGAGGTATTGTGGCCAATCTTAAGATTTAGTGATTAGAATTAAATGATTTTTATATATCATTTAAAAGACAAATCTAACAAAACAAAAATAATCCAATTCCGATTACTAGATCATAAGATATCATTTAAACAAAATATAAATTTTCGTGTATATTTGAACTTAGCAATGTATTAAAAATATAAATTTTCGTGTATATATGTATTAAAAATATATAAAGTTTTTAACCATTAATACTTTTGATTTACTGGTCCATTTTGGATTCTCAATGAGACAATTCTAATACGCACACAATCGCTAAAATCCAATCGCAGGATCGCGGGGTCCTGAGATCGATATAGGTTTATCTTATTTCAAAAAATTATATTAGTAAATCTGCATATTTTTACAAACCTTAAACGATGATGGGATTAGATGGGATTTTGACGATTTTGTGCTTGTTAAAATCGTCTCATCGAGATGATCATTTTGGTGGTAAAATCATAGGAATGTTAATGGGGTAAGATAATCTGAAGTGACTGTGGAGTATAACCTACTCCATACCGGTGTTGTTTAGGCATAACACTACCCCAGATTATTAAGATACTATTAATAGGAGTAAATACTCTGGAGTAATGCATTAAAATAAAGTGGTTTATACTCTGGAGTATTATTTAAATACCGTTAAAAGCATTTTGATTGGCTCACTTATACAAGCACATGAACAAAAGCATGTGAGCGACACTAAGAGAAAACTAGATTTTTGGCTTTTGGGATTGTAATTTAACAGATTCAGCCCCTGAAAAGTCCGATCAATTGATACAATAATCTAATTTTTCAGGAGCTAAGTCCATTAAGTCATAAATATAGATGCTGGTAAAACTAAATAATGCTGGTTAAACTGATGACTATCTAAAATCTGATTGGCTGTTATATTAAATATCACCAATTTCACCAATTTCACAACAATTTACCAAGAGTTCACTAGTTTCACCAGCATCTATAGTCATAAACTCAAAAGCCCAAAGCCCGGTTTTCTCTTAGTAGTACTTAAATGTGAACATTTGAAGATTGCATCGACTTTTAATTAGTTTATATTTATTGATTAAGATAATTGAAATAGACTGATTCTTCTCATTCAATTTCTTTTCGTTCATTAATTTGTAGACTACTGCACATCCGTAAGAATGTTCAAGAATGCTAGTTTAATATATCTCTCCTCTTATCGTTTACAGTAAATTATAACAGTACTTCAGTACTCCGGGCTATACTCTGGATTATACTCTGGGTTACAATCCGAAGTATACTGTGATAGAATACTCCAGTGTGGCGTGGTGTTAAGGAATACTCTGCCAGAGTATGCACCACACAACCCTGGAGCACTCCGTTAACATCCCTACCTAAAGATGCCGGTGAAATTAATTTCATCAATTAACACCAATTTCACCAATAGAGGTAAATATACCTTAGTAATTTGCATTTTTAATAATAATAACAGTAATTTGCATTTTTAATAACAGTAATTTGCATTTTTAATAATAACAGTAATTTGCATTTTTAATAATAACAGTAATTTGCATTTTTAATAATAACAGTAATTTGCATTTTTAATAATAACTAATAGGTTCAAACTATGTATATTTTATATTTTACAGTACTCATGATCTAATATCCTTGATTATTGTTAATTATTTTAATAATACAAATGTTTTAATGTAACATTGGTACGAAATACTTCCATTAATAATGAGCTGATGTTGTAATTGCCATAAAAACTTAAGGAAATTAACGTAATATTTTTATAGAGAGCCTCGGCCAAGGCTTTTCCAACCTCAAAATTAAGCCTATTATAGGAAAGGTTTAAGGAAGTTAAAGTAGTATTTATTCGAAGAGCTTCTGCAAATGCTCTTCCTCCTATAAAACCAATTTCATTATTGCTAATATTTAAAAAGATCAGAGTAGTGTTTACGCAAAGAGCATCTGCTAATTCTTTTCCTCCTTTAAAACCTGTCTCATTATCACTAATATCTAAAGAAGTCAAGGCGATATTTTTACAAAGTGCCTCTGCTAATGCTTTGCCTCCTCTAGGGCCAATATTATTACTGCCAATATCCAAAGAAGTTAAAGTAACGTTTTTACAAAGTGCCTCTGCTAAAAACTTTGCTCCTTCAGAACCAAGTTGATTTCCATAAATCTTTAAAAAAGTCAGAGTAGTGTTTCTGCAAAGAGCTTCTGCTAATGCTTTTCCTTCCTCAGAACCAAGTTGATTATAAGAAATATTTAAGTGAGTTAGAGTAGTGTTTATGTTCAGAGCTTCTGCTAAAGCTTTTCCTCCTTCATGACCAATTCCATTATTGCTAATGTCTAAAAAAGTCAAAACGTTATTTCTACAAAGTGCTTCTGCCAATGCTTTTCCTCCTTCAAGACCAATCTCATTATTGCTAATATTTAAAGAAGCTAGTGTAGTATTTGTGTAAAGAGTTTCCGCTAATGCTCTTCCCCCTTCAAAACTAATCTCATTATTACTAATATCTAAAGAAGTTAAAGTAATGTTTTTACGTAAAACCTCCGCTAATGCTTTTCCTCCTTCGAAACCAATATTATTAATGCTAATATCTAAAAAAGTCAAAGTATTATTTTTACGAAGAGTTTTTGCTAATGCTTTTACACCTTCGGAACCAAGATGATTTTCATTAATCTTTAAAGAAGTCAGAGTAGTGTTCATGCTAAGTGCTTCTGCGAGTGCCTTCCCTTCCTCAGAACCAAGTTGATTACAAGAGAGATTTAAAGAAATTAAAGTATTGTTTTTAATAATAACCTTTGTTAATACGTTTATTCTCTCGAAATCAAAATGATCCCAATAAAGGCTTAAATTGACAATAGTAGTGTTCATATAAAGACTTTCAAATATTGTTTTATTAATAGTTCCGTCAAGTGTTAAATAGTTAAGATTTTTACTTGTTCGTAAGAACATTGCAATCAAAGAACATTTAACAGCGTTTACAAGCTCGTCCTCATCTCTTTCATAATAATCATCAATAAAGATTGAATAACGAGACTTATCTACACCATATCCTTCATCGTTAAGCCACTTTATGATACCATCTGTCAAATAAGAGCTAACGGATGTGGTATAACTCGTGTACTCGAACAGTGGTCTTGGATAATTTGGGAGAATAATTTTAAAGGGGATTAATAAAGTCTGTTCTTCGGCATTTAATGCTAAAAGATAAATTCTTATAAGCCTTCTATCATCGAAATAATCAGTCGGTTCACTCCATAATATTGGTACAATAATTCTACACCATTGACGATTTACAAGGAGGCATGAAAATAAGCTTTTATAATCATTCCTAAAGTTATTAAATATTTCGAAAAAGCATTCGTTCGGTAACTTAACCATTTTAAAAGAATTGAAAATTTAGTATACACACAAGGTGAAAGACGGATCTTTCGCCTCCGATATATAAATGTCATGAAACTTGGGGTTATAATTTTTACAGGGCAATCCCCAAATTTTCAAATCGGAATTCATCGGAGTTGTTCAATAAAATTTTAATGTCTAATCTGACTCATAGTGTCAGTTACAGTTAAAGTGATTTTCAATATTCAGCCAATAGAATTTTTAATTTTGCTACGTATCCATTATGTGTGTAATGCGTAGTAATTTGCATAACTGATAATCAGTTTTGCCAGAATTATACGTATAAACAAATTAAATTCTCGCGCGTATGACCGGTAATTTTCGTACGCGTGTAATGGCCAATAAGATTGTTCAGGTATAATAAGCCTATATAAGCTAAAAATTTCACGATTTTTTTTTATTTTTTTTATTTTGAAGTACGTTAACGTTTTACATGAGTAACATTTCTTCAGAGACGTGTCATATTGTGATATGAAACTTGAAAAATGCATGTGGCCTAAAACACATAATTGTATTTACTTTTTATATCCAATACTTTTTGGCAAAGTTTTAATTGAATAATTGGTGTTTCTGGCGTGATCTTACCAAAGAAGTGTTGCCCTGTCCTTACTAAAGTACGCATTACAGCACATTTTCAAAGCTGGTATTAATTTGAGGTATAAAAATTCGTTATTTATTATTATTTTTTTAACCATTTCTTATTACAAATCACATTATAAATGTCTATATCAGTGATTATTTTTTGCTGTGCAGACTGTGCGCAGCACAGAAACAAAATGTTGCGCACATTTTTCTTTTGAACAGATGTGCGGATGCCGCACAGAAAAAATTAACATTTTGTAAGTAGTGCGCACACTTGTAAATAGTTGCTTATAGTTTTTCTTGATTTGCCGCACAGAAAAGTGCGGTATCCGCACAGTAAATTTTAACTGAAAAATTAACACTGGTCTAGATCATCTTTCCACATAAAGATGGAAATACGCCGTAATAGGCGGGTTAATCCAAGAGGCGTGTTTACCTTTGAAAAAGATAGGTTCACCTTGATGCACATTTGTGGTGTGAACCTTTTAAATCTGAATAGACTTCTTCTTTAATTATCATTTTTGGTGCCACCTTTAGTACCGACGTCCTCGTCGTGTGGCCTGGACACTATTGTTCTAATAGTGGCTAACGGGTACTATTCTATCAGTGTTATCAATGTTAGGAAATTTGTTGGTTATCGGTCAAAAATAATCTATCAACTAAACTCTTAGAATGATCAAATTGGTTAGGTCATGCTAACACTGTATTCTGTGTATACTCTAGCTTTATCAAATTATATATCGATATTTAAACAAACATTAATATAACGATAGCGGCTAATGTACTTACCTATGTAAAGTATCGGGATCCGGGTGCTTGTTTAAGGAAATGCGTTATTAAACATGAATCAAGACAAATATTTTTCTGGGCCTTGTTTCTTAGTATAAAACCTTTTTATTATGAGGAAAATCTTTTTTTATACAGTAACATACTGCAGTATCAAAAAGAATAACAGTGATGCAGCAAAGCTGTTTATTGGTGCAATTACTGTGGTACATGATTAATGATTCAAAAAAATTATCCCTGCGCGACATAGCCATTACTGCAACTTCATACCTTTTTTCGAACTGGTCATTTTTTAGCGTTCCTCATACACACTACACATCCTCTGTTACTGAACGCATTCACTCTTTTAAGACCTACTCCTTCATAAATTTAACCTCAACACTCCCTTGACACTTTTCATAACTTTATAACTCATGGCTCACGTACGTATTTTTTTTTTTTTTTTACCTCAAAAATTAAATAAACCTTAACACGATTCTTTTTGTTTTACATTCCTAACAGAGATTAGGAGGCCGTAGAAAAAATTTGAAAAAGGGTTTTCAATTCACCTTGATGGTGGTTGGTAAGTCTGTTTATTTAAGTAGAAATAAAGTATTCGTTAGTTTTTTTTTGTCATATTGATAAAGTGTTATAAATTATTATCGTTGCGAATACTTTATTCCCCAACTGTAAAATTCGACCTTTTCACATTCGATGAAAGTTAATATACTTATCTTCAATAAACACAATTTTCAGGCGCTTCAGGTTCTGGTCGTACTACTTTTGTTAATACTCTTTGTGGCAGTGAGGTTTTATCCAAAAAGTTGTGCGATTCACCTGAAACTGCCCATGTAGAAGAAGGCATCCGCATCAAACCAGTAACTGTTGGTAAGTGTTGATTTCTTAAAGTTACATTCTAAAAATGATTTCAATCTAATAATTTTGATTTATAGAATTGGATGAAGATGGTGTTAGGATTGCTTTAACAATTGTAGATACACCCGGATTTGGGGATAACATAGACAATGAATTTTGGTAAATTTAATTTAGAATCCAAAACCTTAAATTGTTATGTATAAACGTCTCGACTTATTACAATATATATAAATAGTTTCCAAGAAATTATGGGTTATTTAGAGAGACAATATGATGATATTTTAGCTGAAGAATCAAGGATTAAGCGCAATCCACGATTTCGTGATAATCGTGTTCATGCACTCCTTTATTTCATTACACCAACAGGTCATTCGTAAGTATCTAATTCATATTTATTATTTTTTTCAACAGAATGAAAATTAATCGGTTAAAATTTTTCAATTTAGCCTCCGCGAAATTGATATCGAACTAATGAAACGTCTTAGCCCGCGTGTCAATGTCATCCCGGTAGTCGGCAAAGCAGACACATGCACGCCCACCGAATTGGCTGAATTCAAAAAAAGGGTACTTACAAATTTCTTGTGGTAATTTTTAATTAATAAAAGTCAATTAAAAACTAAATGCAATTAAATATAGATAATGGAAGACATTGATCATTATAATATTCCAATTTACAATTTCCCATTTGATGTTGAAGAAGATGATGAAGAGACCGTTGAAGAAAATAGTGAATTGCGGGTATATATTATTATTATTATTATTATTATTATTTGCGCTTTAATTTTTTTCTGCATTGTGTAGGTTCTCTTACCTTTCGCCATTATTGGCAGTGAAGAAGAGATTATTGTTAATGGAAGAGCCGTTCGTGGACGTCAATATCCATGGGGCATTGTCGAAGGTTTATCACTACTATCTCACTTTGTCATTTTGAATGTTGTCTCTTATGTGTTTTGATTACTCATTTATCTAATTTTTTATTTGGCAGTTGACAATCCACAACATTCAGATTTTGCTAGGCTACGGTCGGCACTATTAAGGTTACTATAGCATAATTATATTTATCATTAAATAAAAGTTCATATTTTTTAATTATATATTTCTATTAGCTCTCATTTACAAGATTTGAAGGAAATCACTCACGATTTCTTGTATGAGAATTATCGTACTGAGAAGCTTAGTCGAAGTGCTGACAATTCTTCCGTCGAGTAAGTATAATAATCTTTGTTCATACGAATATTGATGAGCTATACATATTAATTTTGTATATTTATTTCATAGGGACACTGCTATTTCATCCAAAGATCTTGCTACTCAAAGCGTGCGGATAAAGGAGGAACAATTGAAAAGAGAAGAAGAGAAAGTAAGATTTTTACACTTAATTTTTTATTTATTTTATTTTATAATTTTATTACTGAATTGCTTTTACTACTTATGATTAGTTGAGAGAAATTGAACTAAAAGTTCAACGAGAAATCTCTGAAAAGAGACAGGAACTTTTAGCTAAAGAAGAAGCCTTGAGAAACTTGGAAGCAAGGTTAGCACAAGCTTAAGAATTCTTTATATACATCATGGGACTTTGATATCATTTATTTGGGTTCAGCTTTCGGGTGGACATTTTTGAATCTTAATAACCCAATATTATGGAAATTATAAATACATATACAAATAATATAGAAACTGCAATACTTAACAATTATTGCATGTATTAAATAAGTATTAATGCTAATTGAAAATCAATAAATTTAAATCATACTAAACATTTTATCAAATTATTACTAATTGACAATAATTATTTACTATGTTGTTTGAATAATGTGTAAATACAAAATAATTACGTAGCAATTACGAATAGGATTCATATCAGTCGATCAATATGTCGCATGTTAGAATTTTTAATAGTGGGTCAAATGATTGACGCACCCAAATTTTATAAGTAAAATTTTGCTTAAATTTGCTTTCTAGGCTTATTTATCAATAAAGAAGTTGTCGGTTTAATTTCTGAGTAGCATTTCGCAAATTCTCTAGCATTTGAAGGTTCTTATTATGAAA